GTCGTAGCATCGCACCCTGAGCGTGAGAAAGGTGCTCGAACTTCATTTGGAGTTTGATCATCATCGATGACCGTTCGCTAAAATCCCTCGTGGATTCTGGTCATGGGTGTGATGCTTTCTGAGAGGTTACTTTAAAATTTATTATCTTGTGCGTTCCAAAACCAACACCAACGAATTGGCGTTCCTTATAACTAGAATAATTCATGTTCACAAGAATGATAGAAGACGTTCGGGAACAGTAAAAGTTTCAGCAAGAAAACATAGGGCAAGTTATAGTTATCGCAAAAAAATCGAGAATGAAATTTTTTATATATCTTTACGTTTCAAAGGCTTCTGAACATTTTGGCATACCTTAGAAAAAATGCAATGAATGAAAAATAGCATGTGTGTGTGTGTGCAAATGAAGGTGTGAAAATGGTCATGCCGTTTTTGAGAGTACGTATCATCCGATTAGATTAATTCAAAAAACATTTGCTTTTAGTAATTAAGAAAAATAAGAAATAAGAAATTTTAGTAATTAGGAACATTTCCAGAAAAAATCAAGTTTTTATTTTCAAAAGAAAACTAAATTTTGAAAAATATCAAAATTTAAAAAAATCGATATAATACAAAAATTTGAGAATATTTCGAAATTTTCAAATTTTCAAAAGAAAATAGAACTAGCTGTAAGTTGAATTCTGTCTTAAGGCAATTAAGGCATCGTGCCTTAAGACAAATTGCTGGTACTTTCCGTACCAAAAATTATTATTTTTTTAAAAGCGATTAACATTTTTGCAAAAAATTTACTTCGAAAAAATTAGATTTTTGAGAAACAAAAAAAAATGTTTGATAAAAAAAGTTTTCTTTATTATGGCATTTGGAAATTATGAACTTTTTTTCAAAGCAATCGTACTGCTTTAACTACATACAGACGAAATGTCAAAGCGCGTAAGCGCCGCGTCGCCGTCTAACAGATAAACATTGGTACTGAACCATAGGAATGTAAACAAAATTCATACTTATTGTAAAAATCTCTATAAAATATCTGATAATTTGATGTGCATATGTCTAATGATCATTTTTGACCGCCAAATGGCTTTTTGTTTTACTTTTTCATTAGGTCTCCGAAACCGCTAGACCTGCCTCCACAAAAATTTGATCAATTTTCATCTTGTCAATACAAATAAAATGTGTTTTGAATTTTTAAAATCGGACGCTCCGTTCTCTTAAAAACCGTGTTACCAGTTTGGGCCCTTTTTGCTTCGTATCTTTGGAACGGCTAGACTTGCCTCCACCAAAAACTAAACAGTACGTCTCCTTATCAGTGCAAATCGAATGTTTATTAAATTATTTAAATCGGTTGATCGGTGTTCTCGAAATCGTCGACGAAAATTGTATCCGAACACACACACACATACATCCATTTTTTTAAGGTATGCTAAAATATTCAAAAACCTTTGAAACGTCGAGAAATGCAAAAATTTTCATTTTCGATTTTTTGCAATTACTATAACTACGGGAAGTCAAAAAAGGTTTTTTTTTGAAAAAAATTTCAAACTTCTAAAAAAATTATTAATTATTTTAATATTAAATTAAAATTAACAAATTATTGATTATTTTCATTCTCGAATGTTTAAATACGGTACGGGAAGTTCCAGCAATTTGCCTCAAGGCAAAATGTCATGCACCCCACTAGTTTTCTTTTTAAATTGGTTGTGATATCCGAAATTTGATTAAACGGCGTTTATAAGAGTAGTCAAATCATTATATTAATATTTTAATTGCTTTACACAATTGGCCATGGACTTGATGCCTTCTGAGAATGTTTTTACATTATATATTTTATAACTTCCCTTATATAAGTTATAGTAATCGTCCAAATATCTAATAGATTTTTTTTGCATATCTTTACATTTCAAGCTTCTGAGCATTTTGATTAGATTAGGGCAAATGGATGTGTGTGCGAGTGTGTTTTGTATGGATACAATTTTTCATCCACAATTTCTGATGAATTATCAAAAAGCATACAATTTGTAGTGATAGGACACGTGGTGATTAATTTTTGGCAAAGACAGGTCCAGCCGTTTCGGAGATACGCAGCTTAAAGAGCAAGGCATGGCAATTTTTGAGAGAACAAAGCATCCGATTCGAATGATTCAAAATACATTTTGTTTGTGTTGATGACAGTCTGTATGTACGTATTTTTTTCAAAATTATTTTTTTTAATATCAAAAATGCTTTCGATTTCAATTTTAACTTTAGCTAAAGTTCTAAAGCTCACATATATGTTTCAAATAAATAATTTGAACTTTGCAATTCAATTTATATAATTTTATAAAATTTATTGTTAATTAATTGAACAATTGTTATTAAAAAAAATAGATAAAATCATAGTTTTATTTTTTTACTTCCCGAAGGAGAACTTTATGTTTTCATAAAAAAATCGCTAATTTTATGTTTTCTCGACGTTTCAAGCCATTTTGAATCGAATGAGATCAAAATTGGAAAATGTATGTGTTTCTGTATGTGTATGTGAATAGATTTTTTGCCGTAAATCGACGCTTTGTCAAAAACGGCTGGACCGATTTCATAAATTTAAAAGCCATTCAATATCACTCGATGAGGACTAGCGTATATGAAATTTGCGAGACGATCAGCCAAGCGGTTTCTTTGTGAATAGCAGAAAAGTGAAAAAAAATTTGTCCACGTTTTAGCCCGCAATTCTGAATCGATTTTGAAAATTCAAAAACTGTTCGAAAGATATTGGTTGGGAATCGTGCTGATTAGTTTTTGGTAAAGATCGGCCGGGGGCCTTCTTGTAATGAAGTGTTATAAAAAAAATTCTATACTAAATATTACGGCCCTACGACAAGTCGTTCAATTTTAAAATTTTTTTAAAGTTTGCAATAATTAGTATTGTTTTTTGGCATTTGTCAAAATTAGACCTTTGATCGACGTTTTCTCACAAACGTCTGAACCGATTTCAGAAACTAATAAAAGCCATTTGATGTATCTCAATGAGGACTATCGTTTGTCAGTTTTGTGAGTTTTGTGATCTACCAAGCCGTAGTTTAATTAAAAGTAAATTACAAATAGTTTAATTTTAAAAAATCATCAAAGTTTGAGAAAATGAGTAGTTTTTTGACGTTTGTTGAAATTAAAATTAGACGATTTACTTGGTATAAAGATAGAGTACTGGTTCAATTATAAAAATTGTTGATCTTTGAAAATTTCCTTTTCGATAATACTCCGAGTTAACGTGTTCGTTCGTTTTCAATTATATTAAATCCACTCGGAATACTTTTAATCACTCATAAACTAATTTATTTTTTATTGATTAAGTCGATTATTTACACATATCGGGAAGTTTATGTAACTTGCCTCAATGTAAAATACCAATACCAACTAGTTTACTTTTCATTTAAACTTATATAGACGAAAGTTTAAGGGGCACACCTAGTATGACAATACACAGTAAAATTTTTGAAATAAATTATGAAATATTTTTGAAATGATATGCAATCTCCGGCGGCGCCAAAAAAAGCTCCTCCACTGCTGCAGTGATAGTAGCCTTCTCCGTTGATAAAACATAATAATAACAAATCTCGTTAAACTAGATAATATTGTCCGTTCAATGACCTACGATAAAAATAAAAAATCAAATATTGACAATATGGCGGCGTTTTTAAAGAGATAGTCGAATTTTACCCAAAATTTTGATCGTATTTGGCCTGCCAAAATTCGATTTTTTATCAGATCAAAAAATCGATAAGTCATTGTAAGGAGAACTATTTGTAGAATACGTAAAAAGATGATAGCGATCGGATTATTTGTTTTTGAGTAATCACTGCAGCAAATTCGGAAAATGCTCTTTCGAGAAAAACGCGTTTAAAGATAAAATG